CGTTGAGGATCTGACTGACACTTTTCAGCTTGAACAGTTAGAAGGACTTCCAGTAACTGCAGAAATTGTTAGGCAACACACCGCAAATGATCCCATTTTGCAGAAGGTATACTAGTTCATAGAACATGGTCCGCCTAGCAAGATCCACAATGTTGAACTCCACTCATACTGTCGCGTCCTCAATGAATCAAATCGAGGGTGAATCAGGCGATTTCGTTAACTGGTAGCTCCGCACACTCTTCGAGGCCAAATCCTACAGGAACTTCATGAAAGTCACCTAGGCATAGTCAAGATGAAAGAAATTGCGAGAAATTACATTTGGTGGTCAAAGCTAGACCAGGACATCGAGGCTGTAGACTCGAGCTGTGCACCATGTCCATTGACCAAGAATTCCCCACAGTCCCAGCGCCACCTATGGTACTTCCCCTCAGCTCCATGGCAGAGAATGTTTCACAATTTACGGATTTCATGGCAAAGAATGGTGTCAGGTACATCACCACAGCCCCTTACCACCCTGCAAGTAATGGGCAGGCAGAAAGATATTTCCAAACGTTCAAACAAGCCTACAGAGCAGGACATGGAAGCCTCTCACAAAAGATGCCCAATTTTCTTCTGCAGTACAGACACTCACCCAATGGAACCACAAGATGTTCCCAAGCACAGTTGATGTTTGGTCGACCACTTCGTACACGTCTGGATTTGATAAGCCCAAATGACGCGTTTCAACGAAAGAGAAATGACCAAGCGTTACATCTCTCAATTGCCATACAAATTGTGTCATGACAGAGAGTGGACTAAGTCCGACAAAAAACANCCAATAGACCTAATCGGCTTCAACCCAATTCAAACCACCCGGGAGTAAGTTTCATTGTTCGTTGTATTTTCATTTCACAGTTGAATTCTTAGAAACAAAAGTTTTTTTCCCACAGGATTTGAATTGGGTGCCAACGTACATAGCAACGCCGTTAGCCGATTAGGTCTATTGCCCTTCAAATATAGATTTCTCCACAGTCTCCTGCTCGACTTTTAGACTTCTTACAATTAGACTTTCCCACAGTCTCTGTTATGTTTGTTAGCCAGCTAGTTACTGGAACCCCTTTCAAGGCCTGGTTACCTGGCCGTGGGTGCCATCTTGTTTTCATGTAATGTGTGAGGACTCTTTGGTCGTTTAATAAATACCACAGGCCGAAACCACTTGATTGAGTTCCTTTATACACATTTATACACATACTGACGACCACGGACGACGAGGATGTGATGCTGACAAGCTCTGAGTATTTTCAACAGCAATAATCACCTAAACCCCTAGAAATTGCCGAAGAGCCCCATTTTACCAGCGTACAGAGAAAGTGAAAACATTCATCAATTCATGGCCTCATTAAAACGAATGACTGAGCACTGCAGCTTTGAGGCGTTTTTGCCTTACGACCGTTTTGTTTGTGGATTGTCCAACAAAACTATTCMGATGAGAAGAAGCTTTTGTGTGAGCATGATCTTACACTCGAGAGATCCGCAACCACCCGATATACAAAGTCATCTCTGAAAGTCAAAAACTGGAAGTCAACCAACCAATCCAAAACTGCCAAAGATGCGGGAAGTCGAGTCAACCTCGACGAAATTGCAAATTCTACAATTCCGCAGCCAAACGCTTAAAGTCTCAACACTCACTAGTGGACGACCATCACCAGGAAAGAGAGGAAGTGAGCGATATTGATCAACCTTGTCAGAACATTTGTGCGAAAAACGGAGTAAACTTTCGTTGGCACGGGTGGTCTAGTAGTAGTCAAGCTGCTGGTCTCTCACCACTGTGTTCCGGGTTCCATTCCCGGGCATGGACCACGGGTAATTTGAGTTTGTTTGATGTACTGTTCTCTCCCTTTCCACGAGGGTTTTCTCCGGGTTCTCAGGTTTTCCTACTTAGTAAAAATCAACATGTGAGGAGTGTTGTGTGCTAAAATACTTAACGTAGAGGTAGTTAGTGTGAGAGTATAGGGTCCGCAGAATTGGCTCACGCTGTTGCGGTGTCCCTGCCCATACTAGGGGCAAAGCTAATAAAAAATTAAAACTTTAAAGTTTAAACCACCCATAATGATCAATGTCTGCCTAGAAGGGAAGCGCATTAACATGGAGCTAGACACAGGTTCATCAGTGTCTGTCATTCCATTCTCTGCCTACAAAATAAACAGACCACATCTGAAGATTCAAGATACTAACATCAAAATCTGAACATATGGGAATGAGAGAATCACTCCAAAAGGGACTGTAAAACTCACAGTCGAATACAGTCAATGCCATAAAGCACAACTATTTGTTGTGATCGGTCCAAAGGTTCCCATCTTCGGGCGCTCGTGGCTGCAATTTTTCATACTAGATTGGGTTTCGATTAAGCTTCTCATCGAAGCACCTAAAGACAACAGGGTTGATCGCCTAATTGACCTTTACATCAACGTTTTTAGTGATGAACTTGGCTCTTTCAAGGGCCCCCCAGTCATGCTGCACGTGTGCGAGGGTGCAATACCAGTGCATCAAAAGTTCCGGTCTGTATCTTTTGCAGTCCATCAGAAGGTCGAAGCCGAATTGGAAGAGGTTGAGAGACAGGGAATAATCTCCCCCGTTACACAAAGTGAGTGGGCAGCAACGGTCGTCCCTGTAATCTCCCTGTACTCAAGAAGAATTGCTCAATTTGCCTCTGTGGTGACTTCAGGGTAACAGTGAATCCCAAATTGGTGGTGAATGCCTATCCACTCCACGCTCTAGATGATCTACAGGAGAGGATGAACGTTGACTGTTTGTTTTCAAAGCTCAATCCGTCCAAAGACTATTAACAGATCCCCCTTAAACGAAGAGTCCAGAAAGTACACCACTCTAACAACACATAAAGGACCCTACACGAACAACCGGCTGCCTTTTGGTGTGTGTCTTCAGAAGCAGCCATGTTTCATATTTGTGGATCAAGTCTGTTCTTTGATATMAACTTGACATAATTGGTCACTGGACGTAACCAGGACGATCACCAGAACAACCTGGAACAAGTGTTGAATCGCCTGCAGCAGTACGGCNAAGATAGGCAAATCAACTTTTATTTTACGCTGTACAATTTTCGCTTTTTGTTCAATTACTTACACTAAGGAAACGACTTTTATATCAAAGTAAGCAAGTTTATTGTAATTTGTGATGGCCGTGATGTCAAATTTAGCTAGCGGAGACTGGTAAATGTTATGTACATTAGCGAGTTCGCCGGAAGTGACACCGAATTGAGTGCGATGAAACCCTGCACAAACGTGCGTTTGTCCCAGGGAAGGAAGTGTGGTACATGACTTTACAAAAGGGGAAGGTAAACGGGCTACTGGAACAGTGGCAGCACCTATTGTAAATGCAATGTACACCTATTTCAAAAAACGTTGTTGTCACCACGACACAGCCCACAGATTTGAGCCTGCAAAGAATCTCGGCCGCTTTCCATGCGTAATTAATATATTCAAAATATTTTGTGGAATGCAATGGCGGCAAACACTACTAATATACTATTGCGGCCCATCGAACAAGTCTCGCCATGAGACATTTTCCTTTGAAATGAATATTCCACGTTTCTAAAACGTCAATGAGTTTCAAAGCTATATTCGCTATGAGAACGAGAATAATCCAGTTTCGTATTCTTCAATGCTCTGTGTTAGCCTCATTTGTTCGCAAAATATTCCTAATTGTGAGAATAAAATTGTAGATTTCAAATCAATTCTATTGTCTCCCTTTTCAAATTCCATGCGTTTTCTCGGGCTATCAATGAAACAAAAGAATATTTTGATTGGTTTTGGAGATAACACAGAGCAAACCAGAACTCTAAATCGGAGTATAATTGAACACATAATTATATATGTCAATCCCGAGATTCTTTGCAGGCTCAAGACTAAGGACTGAGTCCTGGGGACGACAACGTTTTTTGAAATAGGTGTATATGAGGTAGAGCCGCAGTCTCAGGCAGGTCGTGCAGTTCGTCGACATATCGATCAGATTATAAGGAGAAACATTTTACCAGCACAGTTAACATCTCAAGTTCAACAACCAGAAGAATCAGCTAACTCAGAGACACGCAGAGATGATGCAATTGATGCTGAAACGGGGAAGAGGAATTATGTAAGGCAAATTATTCCTTTTAACTTAAAAGTAAAAAAATGTGACCGACGTGACTCACTGATGTAATTTGACTTCTAAAAACTTTAGTAGTCAGTAAGACAGCTTTATCAAAGAATCCATTGGAATCTAGTCGTGTATAATGGACAAGAGGAAGAAGAGGAAGAGGAAGAGGAA